CAGCAGCTTCATGGAATGCAAAGCCAGAAATCCCCAAAGCTTTGCTCATTTGCGGAGGGAGATCGAGCCCAAGATAGTTGTTGAGAGGATCATGATGTCACATGCTCGTGTCCGTGTCCAAACGTCCACCGGGGGGGTCAGGCACTTGTTTGTGAAGTTAGCCTCAAATCAACATGTGGGAAAGTGGTAGAAATAAAATATTTCTCATCCTGACAAGGTAAAGGGGAGCCACACTGATAATAGTTGGTGGTCAGAAGTTTCTGGAAGGCTGGATTTGTCTTCGGCTCAGAAGAACCGAACCGGATGGGCTCGGGACGCTTGGAGCTGGTTCACAGCTGGAGGTTTAGCCTGATTTTGCAGCCAGATTCAGTCCGTCTGGACTCTCCGTTTTCTGGCCGATGAGGTGTGTGTCTGTCGGTGAATCTGGATGCACCGCGTTAGGTTCACCGTCTGCTCTGGTTCTCTCTGGTTTGCTTCCTCCATCCATCAGACAGTGGACAGGCTCCTTATTCCAAAGCCCTCAGCTTGTGTAGGAACAAAGCTAGATGTAGGTTTGGGCCCAGAGGAGCCGTCTGACCAGTGGTCTGCTCCGGACCCGCTCACACCATTATGTGCCCGGTTTGACGGGCTCTTTGTTGCTGAAAGTAGGTCTTCCACCTCACCAGTTCCCTTAGCCCGGGCGGGGCACGGCCATCTGATTACGGAGTCCTTTGGCTTTTGTTTTTCTGGTTGTTTTTTTTGTTTTGCGGGCTCTTTCTGCTGTCGCTGGAGTGTCCAGATTAGCCGTGTTTAGTCATCTCACAAAAGGGACAAAACCCGAACCCTGCGAGCAGATTGTTTCCTGGAAAGTTGGGCAAAAGACGGCGTCCGGGAGTGGATTTGGGGGCCGTGTTCTTATCGGCCTGACATGCTGAAGTTATGGGCCCACCTTCCTGTATGGATAATTGAGGCCTGTTCATTTTCAGGCCTTTTGTTTAGCCAAAACCAAGAGGACTCTGTCGGCCCCTCCGCAGGGCCGTTGGCATCAC